GCCGGGAGAAGACAAGGTCGACGAGCTTCCATGAGCATCTGTGATGTGCCAAGCTCAGTGCTGGGCCCATACAAACACCATCACATTCATTCCTTACCGAGCACAGTGGGCATTATTGATTAGATCGGGTCGTGTGTGTTCCTGAGACATAGAGGACTCCCAACGTCAAGGACCTTGGAGCCGGTTCCTCCTGGATCCTCGCTGTGCTGCCTGTGAACTGCCTGCATGATCTTGGTCTCCTCCTCGAAAACGGAGAGGCTAAAAGATGGTAATGGTTTCATACAGTTGTTACAGTAATTAAATGAGATCATCTATATGAAGTACTTAGAATAACGCCTGGCACCCGGCGTGAAATCGGAGTGTAAACTGATGCTGATTTTTTTTTTTAATTGCCATCCTCATTTTATCGTTGATGGAAGTGAGGCTCCAAGAGGGCAGTGACCCGCCCGAGGTCACACGAACGGCGGCCTGGGGTCCACCTCCAGGTCCATCGGATGCCACTGCTCCCCGTTCAGATATTCTGAGGCCCCAGGCGTTGAGACAGAAAGAGAGACTTGGGTGCCTTTGCTCCTCAGGGCAAGGTGACTGCAAAGGGAGTTGCCAGGAGCAGTGACTGTCCCCAAAGAAGGGGGCGAGTCAACCTCACAAGGTCCCAGGGTGAGGAACCCTGGGAGACGCTCCCCGTTCCTCCACACCCCCAGGGCCTGCAGGGAACCCAGGAGGGGAAATGGGGCTCTGGGCGAATGAGTGTGCAGAAAAGGGTCAAAAAGAGGCCTCGGTCTCCCTCCCGGAGGGCGAGGCTGGCAGTGGTGAAAGAGCCCCTGGCAACAGATAAACAGGAAGCTGGCTGCCCAACACCACCACGGGGACAGACACACAGATGCACGACCAGCAGCCACGCCTGAGCGCCGGTGCTGAAGCGTCTTGCACCCGCCCAGCGTCAAAGGGCCAGGAACCCCTTTAGGGGCAGCATCCTCCCTCAGCAAGCCCATGCCCGGCCACAAAGAGGGCCAGGCCCCTGACACCCGAGGGAAGGTACCCAGCTTCCTGTTTGTCCAGCTGTGAAATGTGGGGGATCAGATCCACCTCCCAGGGCCACTCTAAGGACTGAGGTTAGATGACAGGGTTGGGTACAGAATGTCCTCCTGTTCTCGGGGGACAAGTGAGTTGTCTGAGCTGCCTGCGCTTGAAGTCACTGGCTGCCTCCAGAGGTACCAAGCTCTCCATTATCCGTGGTTAGAGAAGCCAGGGCCACTTGGAGAAGAGGTGGCAAAGCAGACTCAGTCTTTCGTGGGGAGCCCCAGTCTGTAGTCTTTGAAAGTCTCGTGGGCAGGCTGGAGCCTCTGATGCTGCAGGCAGAGACCATAGCCTTCGTGATCAACAGCGCTATCTGCCTAATGAATGCACTTCTAGGGCATTCAAGTTCGAAGCCAGTACAATACTGGCAGACAGGGAGGAGAGAAAAATAGGGAGATAGGGTGGGAGCTGGGATCCCTGAGGCCGGCAGACTTCTCCACGAAAAGAGCCTCCTCATTTCCCAGGGAATCCTGAGATCAGCCCGAAAGCCCCAGAAGGCTGGGCTGTGACACATCCAGCCCCCTCCCAAGGCCTGGGGCGCACTGGTGTGGGGAGAGAGCGAGGCTCACACACTCCCAGAAGCCTCTTTGGGTTTCAGAATTGTTGCTCTGAAAATCTGTCAGTGGCTCCTAGGGGCACCGAGGCAGCTCTTCGGAAAACAAGCAGGCAGCAGTGGAGGGAACCAAAGCCTCAATTATGCTGGGGACTGGAGCCTTTGAAAAGAGATGGTTTTTAATGAAAAGGTGCTGTCAAGAGCTCACCATGTGGAGGGCAGGCTGTCCTCAGATACTTTTCTCCCTGTCCCCTCCCTTCCCACTTAGTGGGGAGCCCCTGCCCAGCCCTGCAGCCCCAGGACCTCAGTGCCTGAGATGAACCCCTGCAGGGGTGGGAAGGAAGGGACCACAGCTCCCAGGTGCACAGGCCAGCTCCCTGAGGGCCCTAGCTGGTTGCCTGGAGTCTGTCCCCTGACCCAGGCTGTGACCCTGGGTGCTGGACATGTTCCTGCTGATGCACCATCTCCCACTCCCAGACTAGATGGTGAAGACAAGGCAACCACAGTGTTTCTCTTTAGCACCATTCGCAGTTTGACCAAACGGACGTTTGGCACAGAATTGATCTTTAAGGAGGACTTACCCTGACAACTAACTTCTAATTTAACCTTGAAACAATCTTTTGATACGGGTACTATTCTGAGTCCCATTTTACAAATGGGCTATCTGCGGCACAGGGAGCTAGAGTAATTTGGCCACAGTCACGCCCCTAGTAAATGACAGAGCAAGGATTTGAACCGGGCAATCTGGCTGCAGAGCGACCTGTCACACTGTCCTCCTTGTGTAGCTCTCTCCAATGCTGACAGTGTCTTGAGTGGCCTTCCACAAGGCTCACCTGATTCCTGATCCCTGGCCCCACCTTTGACTCCCAGGTGCTTCCAAGCCAGGCCTGCTCAGGCTCCGCCTCCCCCTCTGCAACCCCCGCTCCAGCTCGGCTCTTCGTCTTGGGATCAGGAGCTGCTGCCACCTACAGGCCTCCCGTGCAAAGGCACTGAGCTCCAACAGGCTCTCTGGGCAGGAGGGTGGCCTGAGGACCTCTCCCACGGTGGCTAAGGGATGGCAGAGGGCTGGAAGATTTGGACCTGGAAAGTTTTGCATCTGGGCTCTTCTGCAATGATGATCCAGACCCCACAGGGGACGAAAGGGGTGGGGGGGGGATTCCAAAGGAAATTGCACACAAGTGGTGGGAGGCATTGAGATGAGCTCCAAGAAAGACCTTACCATCTGGAATGAGTCAGTCTGCGGGTACAGTCCTGCCTGCCGACAGGGATTAATTGAGCTCAGAAAGAATGTTTCCTGTTTCTGTCCTACCTTTCTTTCCTGGCTCACGAAAGACTTTAACGACACCACCCTAATCTAGGCAGAAGAAGTCCATGAAGCCACGAGTGTCCCTGTGCTTTAGAGCTAGGATGAACTGTTCTCCATGTGAAAGGGACAGTCAGCACAGATGGGTGAGCAATCAAGAGAGACCCACCTCTGGGGACAAACAGGTTTAGAATCTGCAGCCAAAATGCTGACTGGGCGGCCAAGCCGGCCGTTGTCTGCCGAGGGACTGAGAGAAAAGGCAAGTCCTACGTCTGGTTTTGTTTCTAGACTTGCCACTGGCTTGCTGAGCCAGCCTCCTTAGCCACGTCCCTGGGCTTCAGTTTTACGTACAAGGAGGAAGGGGGAGGAGGGAAAAGAGAAGAGAGGTTAACTTTGCAACTCCTGAGAGGTAGGCACGCTGCAAGGTGCTTTACCTGAAATACCTCCCAAGCCCCCAGGTGGCAAGAATTACAGCCCTATCTTAGAAAGGAGGAAATGGCTCAAGAAGGTAAATGGAACATCACACAGCTAGAATGCCATCACCAGGGGCGCCTGGGTGGCTCAGTGGGTTAAGCGACTGCCTTCGGCTCAGGTCATGATCCCGGAGTCCCGGGATCGAGTCCCGCATCGGGCTCCCTGCTCCGTGGGAGGCCCGCTTCTCCCTCTCCCACTCCCCCTGCTTGTGTTCCCTCTCTCGCTGTCTCTCTCTCTGTGTCAAATAAATAAATAAAATCTTTAAAAAAATAGAATGCCATAACCAGTGCACTCACCCATGTGATCACAACAGTCAACACCTAGGCGGTGTGTGCTGTGTCCTGGATGACATATGGACTTGTTTAAGCCTCACCAAAAACCACTCGTTAGATATTATCATCCCCATTTTACAGACAAGGAAACTGAGCACTTAGTGTAACTCTCACCCAGGGCCAGCAGCACCACCATCTTTCCTTCCCACGTCATAGAAGTCATGAAGACAGTGGTATAAGGAGCAAAAGCACTGCATGTCCCTGCAGAAGCCAAGTGGCCCCCGGGCCTGCCTTGGCTTCCTTCCTGAAGGGGGTCCTGCTCTGGCAGCAACAGGCCCTTAACCTCTGTTGGTGAGTTGAAAGCCCAGGAGCTCATGCAGTGTATTTTTTTTTTTCTGTGTCCCCAGAAAGCTAGAGTAGGTGGTTTCTGAGATGCAGAGATGCAAGGAAAATCCTGGGGTAGGGAGCAAAGAATGGGTTTAGCTGGGAATGGGGGATGGCTAAGCAAGCGGAAGAATAGGCAGGGGTTGAATGGTTGAGAATAAGAAGGGTAGAGGGGGAGGAAGGGACAGACAGACAGAGCCAGAGATGGAGAGAGAAACATACACAGAGAGAGCAACAAGGCAGAGAGACAGCGAGGGGGGAAGCAGAAGCCCAGGATACCAGCGGGCAGGGGCTGGCCTTGGCAAGCCCCAGTGAGTGAGTCCCAGCAGGGGACACACAGGCCAACTGGTCCCCCAGCGACTGGCCCCAGCACACATCCACATGCAGGCTGCTTGCAGAGTCCGTCCTTCTCCTCAAGTACCACGGGCGGGGGGGGGGGGGGCGGATGCTCAGTACTTTCATGAGCACTCCCCCAGCTGCTCTTCACTTCATCCCAAAGTAAGTGGGTCAGAGATTGGAAACTTAACTCAGAAGGAGAAGCCACTGGTTCAGGGTCACCGGCAAGTTGGTGCCTCATGAAGACCCGGGGGGTGTTGGCTCTTGGAGGTGAGTCAAGGGATGAAGTCCCTAGGCCAGAAGAGGGTGGTGGGCACAGAAGCCTTTTGCACCTGCCTTCCCCACTCCAGCACGGAATTCCACCCCAACAACATACTGGAGCCAAGGAATCTGCATCTCTCCATTTCTGGTAGTCAGTCCCCATGAGCCTCTTGTCCCCAAAGTCCACTTGGTTCTAGAATGCCCCAGCTCTCGGGGACCTGCTGCTCACCAGCTCCACCATCCCCCCAAACCCACTAACCCTGCAGGTCCTGTCTGCTCTGGGAGCAGGGCTGGGGGCTTGGGCCAGGGCCAGGGCCGGGGCGGGGGAGGGGTGGGGGGGCGGAGATCAGGCATTTCTCGGCATCAAATGTGGTCCCATGTGACCTTTTCACAAATAACTCAGCAGGGGATGAATGTATGTAAGGGAACTCACCTGCCACATATAAATGCTGAGACAGAGGCGTGTAGACAGTGCCAGGGGAGGACGAGAGAGGTACCTACTCACTCTGCTGAGCAGGAGCAGGGCTGGAGCCTGGAGGACAAACAGACAGAGGAAGAGCATTCCTGGTGGGGGACCAGGGTACAAAGGCACAAAGGGGAGGGGACACAGGCGGTGCCATGAGGCTAGAGTGTAGGATGCATATGGGGCTGGGGCTCTCCTAGACCCAGTCTTACGGACAAGGCCAGTCTCTGGTCCCATCCACAACCACTCATGGAGTTTGGGCTCAACCCCAGAGGCCATAGGCAGATGCGAGGGTATTCAGGCGCAGAGGGGCACTTTACCATAGCACAAGCCCCAGGATGTGTCTGGGGACAGGTGCGAGGCAAGCCCCTTTTGAGCGATGGGCCCCTGCATGGCCATCCTGCCTGACCGAGCTCCTCCATTCTCATCTCCTCCTGAGGTTTGCTGAAGAAGGAAGGACCCAGCCTCCGCTCCCTCGGACACCATCCCACACCACCTGCCACCCTTCCTGGTTTAACTGAGTCAGGAAATCATGTCGAAAGGAGAGACTTCTAGGGAAGTCATCCTGTAGGAATCAAACATTCTGTGGCTGCAGGAAAACCACTGGCATCCCTATCTCTGACATCAAAAGCCCCTGAGTCCACCAGCTGATTCCTCAGCAGTCCTGAATGTACAGTAAAAACTGGCCCAGTGGGTTTTCCCCGTATCCTCACAGCACACTCCAGGATTTCCTGTGTGTGTTTCTGTGTCATCTAGTGGGATGACATAAGCACCAGCCACGAAAGCAGTGGGGGTAGATGGGGTTGGCTGAGGAATCTTGATGCCAGCTCTGAATCTAGTTGGGAAGGCCAAACATGTCAGAGCCAAGCTTAGGGAGACAGTTGTTAATCGTGGTGGCTCTCGTAGGGGCTCTGGTACAGGGGCTGCGGACTCACGTCAAGCTAGGCTCTAGGACTTTGTGCAAGATTTTCCATGAGCTTGCAGTGAGAACTCTTGTCCCGTCAATGTTTCAATGTTTCCACGTGGCCTGGGACACAGACAGACAGTGTCAGGCTCAAGACGTTGGTTCTGCTTCTCACCCACGGCCCAGGCCCTGAATGTTATCTCTGATCCCCTGGGACTTGGGATCTAAAGGCCTGAGGATCAGGCTGGGCATAGAAGAGACCAGTGCTGGGAGTCAGACACAGGATTTTGAGACTGACTTCTTCCACTTACTCACCGTGTGGCCCTGGAGGGGTAACTTAACCTCTCTGAGCCTTAACCTCTTCCCTCAACCTCATGGCGCGTGAACTAAACAAGGTAATACCTGGACAGTCCTAAGCTCAGCAGCGATGGGCCCCCCAGCAGAGCTGAGTAAACTTTGGCTACAATTATAAGCTGTTATAAAGCACTTGGCATGGAATAAATACTCTACAAATAAGCACCATGCAAGTCTAAATAGTTATTAATTATTATGATGACTAATCATCATTATTGTTGATGATAAACGTGAGAACTGCTACCCAAACACCAGCTCCCCCACTCAATCTGTCTGCAGATAGTTATCACTCCTCAACCACGAAGAATATTCTGGGACCCAGAAAGATTGCCGGCCCCAAGCTGGCAAACAGGGAGCTCTGTCCTCCCCTCAACCCTCTGAGCGGCACTTCACGGGCTGTCACCCCGACAGGTGACATTCACCCAAACACATCCCATCTGGCTAGTTAGGCTGCTTTCAGTCTACCTTGGATGGGCTCCTCTGCCTCTGGGTGTTAAAAATTTTGGATATCACCTAAACAAGAATACCCCTTGGCAATTCCTTGAGCCCTGGCTCATGGGCAACAGGCAGACCTGAGGGTAGAAAGTGACCTGGGAAACTCCTGGACTAGCTCTGGGAACTCTGCCTCTGGGATGAGGGCAGATAGGTAAGGAGCAGGCTCTGGTGAGCATGCGACGCTCACCACCATCCTGAAAAATGAATTAGAGCAAGGTCTACAGAGGTACCCAGGCCTAGCTCAGCCCCAGCATAGTAGGGACCCAATAAATACACAGATGGATAGATGGATGGGTAGGTGGATGGATGGATGGATGGATGGATGGGTGAATGGATGCATGCATGCATGCATGCCTAGATAGATGGAAGGGAGGATATTAATCATGCCTTTTTATTTTTGGTATCTCGGACACTTTGATACCTGGAGCTTTGCTGACCCTGCAGAGACTGCCCCTCCCAAGGGTAGTCAATTCCTAGAGTGAGTAAACAACTTGCCTGTGAGTATACCTTTCATATGCAAACCAGCCAATCCAAAGCCCTTGTCCCTCTCAACTACCTGCTTCCTCAGACACAGACTCCAGGCCACGATCCACCTTCTCTACTTACCCCAGGGCCAGATACCAGACAACTAGGGACAGTCCCTATGCCCCAGAGCCTACCGCCATTATTTATACTAACTAATCCTAAACCTGCTTATGCTGCCCCACCGGTTCCCGCCCTCAGAAACCACTCCAAAGACTCTGGCCCCGTGTTCCCCTCACTCTCTCTGCCTCCAGGCTGACCCCAGTCCTCCCACAGGTGACCCTGCATGGTGTGGCATGCGTACCGGTTCCCGGGGTTCTTGGGAGGTGTTAAGTAATAAACTCTCTTTTCCCTGGCAGTCCTCTCCTGAGCTGATGGCCTCACCATACCTGAATAATAATAAAACCTGCATTGTAAAACAGGAATGGAATGAGGGAGGGAAGGAGGTGAGGGAGCAGGGAGAGATGAAATTAATCTGGGTCTCAAATTTTTGTAGGGATGATCTGACCCACAACTTTGCTCCATGCTTTGAAAGAAGCAGCTTCCTCCTAGCAGCTTGTGGATGTGCTGGAGAGAACGTCCCTTCGAAGTATCCTAGGCCAACGAGAAACACAGCATGTGGGGGCAGACCTGGATCTGCATCGTGGCCTTGCTGTTTACTGGCTGTGAGACCTTGGACAAGTGACTTAACCTCTCTTGACTCGCTTCCTCAACCACTACCTATATATACCTACCTTCCAATTTCTTTGATGCCAGAAAGAGAAGATGCACGCCTCGCACGGTGGCCAGCTCAGAGCGTGCACTCCATAAACAATGAGTCTTACTTGGATATCGTGCCATCCTGCACCCCGAGTGCCATCTGGCAGAAAGACTGTGCTATTAGGTCTAAATGTCTTCCTCCCTCCGAAGCCCCTATTTGGGTCTCTCGGTCTGGGCCTCCCAGAAAGTTGTCTTAACCTCCCAGCACTGGGGACACAGCGGGCAGCACACTTGCCGCCCTATGTAAAGGAACCAGAAGGCCCTCCGCGTGGGTCCTGTCTCTGACCCCTTCCTGCTGAGATTCTGTTTGGCTTCCCCTGCTGGTTTTAAAGTGAGGAGGGGATGGAGCTTTACACTGGGATAGCATTTCAATTTCCCCATCTCCCCGGTACACCATCACTCGGTAAAAAGAGCTAATTTTAAAATGGCTGCTCTTATGGACGAGATTAATGGATCTTGAAGAGCGGCCAGTATACCAACTGCTCCTGCAGCCATGATGAAAGCTAATAATGTAGAAAATTCTGCCAATTCCTTTAATTCATGAATATTTAAGCCTGTGAAAAATCTGTCAGATTATATCATTTTTTTCTGGTGATTTTCCGCCTAAGTACATTTGTGGCAGCCTGCCAGTTGCTCAAGAAACTTCAGTGGGCGCAAAACCATTTTTGTTGTTGTTGTCACTAGGGGCTGCCGTGTTCTTGCCGAATTTATCCCCCATCCCAGGATGGAGTCAGGTTCGCCGGAGACAGCCAAAGGCAACTCTTGGGATTTTACCTCAGCAAATAGACTCTTCTCCTCACCCAAAGGCTGACAGCGGGGGTGGGGCCCTTTGAGAGCAAAGCCCGTGGTTTTCAAACTGTGTTCCACGGTACCCAAGGGTTCCCCCGGGGTGGGGGGGTCCCAGGGGATCTCTGGGAGGGGTGTGGGTTGGGAATGCTGAGTGGATGGGGCTGTGACCCTCCCCCCGCCTCCACCAAGCATTTCTGCTTTCCGTATTGAGGTTCCATGTAAAATTGCCTTGGAAAGAAGTGTTGCCCCAAATTTAACAAAAAATTAAAAAGGGGTGAGTACGGAAAGCACGGCTTAGTCCACTCCCTCCAACAACAGAGAGAGAAACTGAAGCTCCCCAAGGGTAAGGACGTGTCTTTGTCCACATCACGGAAGACATCGAGGCAGCACCCGAGCCCCAGCCAGGGTCCCCCTTCCAGCGCATTCTGGCCGACCTCTCGACCGCCCAGCACCGCCCGTCTGGGGGAGGCAGGAAGTAGGGCTCTGAGGGCCGCCGCTCCCTGGCCACCACGGAGGGGCCCGTCCGAAGCCAAGCCGCTTCCTCGCAGAGCCACGGGAGAGACAATGAGCACGTTCAGTGACTTGGGAGGGAGGGGCAGCCGACTTCAGAGATGATTATCGTTTGGGGACTTGGCGGGAGGAAGGAGCGAGCTGCTTTTTATAGGAGCTGCAGTTCCTCGTTTTGTTCTCTCTCGGGTTATTCTCCAAAGAAAGCGGCTCAAGTCAGCTGGCAGGAGAAACAGGCAGAGGCGGCCGTTCTGGCAGCGATGGCCCGGGTTCAAGGCTTGCTCCAGCTGGTCACGTCCTCACCGGGGCGGCCGGCCGGCCTTCCCACACTCTGCCAGGGGCCCAGGTCAGCCTCCGCCTCGCGGGCCGGACCCCGGCCAAAATCAACAAGTCTTTTGTGCTTCTCCTTTAGACGCTGTATAATTACAGCAAACATGTACTGGCGGGGGACAGCGACCGTGAGGCAATCTCAGATGCACTTGGCACTTGGTCCTGGAGAGCAGCGCGAGGGACCACGGCTCCAGTTGGCTCAGGCAGGCCGAGAAAACAAGAGATTTTCAGAAGTCAGGAGTGGCGTGTTGGCACGGCGTCCACGGCATGTCGTTCATCAGCTATTTCCTTGATAGTGGCTTGCGTTTTACCACCAAGCCAACCGACTGACTCATGAGTCAGTTACTTAAAAAATAAATAGTTGAGGCCGACTGTGCCCAACGAGCAAAACACGTCAGGCCGAGGCTGCCACAAAATGGGCCCCTGTCGCTTTCCGGGTGGTTTCATTTTTCCTTTTTGTCTTCTGGTTTGAAAACCCTGAAAGCGAAACCGCACACCTCCCCCTCCAGCCGCTCTGTTCCCAGGGGCAACCAGAGCAGAGGGGAGGGGGGTGGCCCCCCTACCCTGGGGGACATTGCCCCTCGGCAGGTTCACATTTCCACCAGCCGGGCTGGAACCAGGTACCTGGAGTGCCCTGCTCCCAGCCAGGCCCCGAGGAGGAGGTGGCCAGAGCCAGGTGACCAGGGACCGTGGCCGGAAGCCACCGAGGTGTGGCCTGCTTCATCCGCTCCATGGCTTTATCGGGAAAACAGCTATAGCCTTGGTTTATAGATAAGGAAATAAAGGCTTCTCCGTTTGCAATTCAGAGTCAAGCCCCATGTGTAGTAAGTGACAGAGTGGGGGCTTGAACCCACATTGGCCAGACTCACCATCCCATAATATCTAATGTTTGGAGCGCACCGAGTGAGGTCGGTGGGCCTATCCGGTGATCAGCACTGACGCGATCCTCACCCACCCTCGCCCCCCACCCTCCAGGCTGACCGTCAGGCTGGGGAGGCAGAAAGTCAAGGTCAATCACAAAAGTGGCCGGTTCACTGTGATAGCAGTAGCATCCTCAAGGAGAAGTACAGGGTGGTCACAGCATGCCGCAGAGGGCCTGGCTGGCCGGAGAGGCCTGAAGACCAGGAGGATGGGGAGCCACCGGAAGGTCTGGGAGCTGGAGCACACAGACAGAGGGGTCATGAGGGTGCAGAACTCGCCCTGGGCCTTGAAGGCCAAGGACATAGTTGGGGGCGGGGGCGTTAGCCTAACAGCAAGGGACAGCCCTTGATGGGTTTTAACCAGCAGAATTAGCTCTGGGTTTTTTAAAAAAATCCCTTGGTTGGGCGCCTGGGTGGCTCAGGCGTTAAGCGTCTGCCTTCGGCTCAGGTCATGATCCCAGGGTCCTGGAATCGACCCCCACATCGGGCTCCCTGCTCCGCGGGAGGCCTGCTTCCCCCTCTCCCACTCCCCCTGCTTGTGTTCCCGCTCTCGCTGTGTCTCTCTCTGTCAAATGAATAAAATCTTAAAAAAAAAAAAATCCCTTGGTTGTGTTCTGAAGTATAGATCGGAGGGGCAGGCATGGGAGTGGGGGGTGGCTCCTAGTTGAGGGTCAAGCCGAAGGCACAGGCCCCTGAGGCTGTGTCTCTCCAACCATGGCACCTGGCCGCAAAGACGTTTCTCAGGACATATCCGCTGATTAAGGTAATCCTGTGATGGACGAATTTTACAGACATGGAAATAACTCTCAAAAGGGCAGAATGGGACGCCTGGGTGGCTCAGTCGGTTAAGCGGCTGCCTTGGGCCCGGGTCATGATCCCAGGGTCCTGGGATCGAGTCCCACATCGGGCTCCTTGCTCAGCAGGGAGCCTGCTTCTCCCTCTCTCTCCCTCTGCTTGTACTCTCTCTGTCAAATAAATAAAATCTTTAAAAAACAAAAAGGGGGGGGGCAGAATGGCCCGCCGCGCCAGCAACAGAAGGATGGCCCCGATCCATGTGGCTCCTGGGGCTGGGTGAGGTCCCCTATCTACCCTTCTGCGGGCCTGGGAAGAGCCCGGCTCCAGCTGAGGCCTGGTCAGGGTGACGGCAAAAGCAGCGCCCCTGGCCCCTTCTCTCCCCCGTCTTCACATCATTGTGAGTCATTCTTCCCTGCAGTCCCTTGCATGCTCCTCAAGCTGGCTTTGAAATCCACTTAACCAGATTACATCAGTGTTGAAGAAGGTGCTCAGGTTCCTGCTTCCCTGCCTTAGTCCTGGCAGTTCCCTGCCTCTCCTGGTCCTGCCTTACCCATCTGGTGATTTGTTGTCCAGTGGAAATCCGGTGTCTGATCCCCACCCCACCCCCACCTCATCCTTGCCCCTCCCCGAGCCTGGATGAGTCCAGGGCAAAGGGAGTTGCTCCCCCGAGTTGGCAGCTGTGCAGGAGTGAGGCTTCTTTCCCTTCTCTCCCCTCCAGTGGCAGCTGGGCCGGACTCTCTGTCCTGGCCTGGGAGGCCTCTGGCTGGCCTGGGCACTAGGCTTGGGGGCACGCGCCCTCTCCTGCCCCTCCGTGCCCTCCCTCAATGTTCCCACCCCCTTACAGGACACGGCCGGACTCAGATCCGGGCCCCGGTGCAGGTTAAGGGGCAGGAGTTTCCAAAGCCCAGGCATCGTGGCTCCCACTCTGTAATGTCTTTTCTTGTGCCACACAAAGCCCTCAGGGAACTCATGGGGAAGGAAGAGCAATGTCCAGGGACCCCTGGGGCCTTCGACCTACCATTACCTCGGAGCCATGGGAGTCTTGCCACAACTTCTAACCTCCACTCCGTAGATGAGGAAGCAGAGGCTCAGGGGCTAAGTCATTCACTTTCTGCTAAGTGGAAATAAGCCGACAAAGCCAGGCCTGTTCCTTCTAGGGCTTCCTCGATCCGTGAGGAAGAGGAAGGAGGAATCGCACGGGACTCTGTCCCCCTCAGCCAGCCCGCGGTGACACCCCCAGGGCCATAGCACACAGCCCTGCAGAAGCCTGGCACACAGCAAGGAGCCTCTCTGCCCACACTGCTACCAGCCAGGGTGGGGGCCAGGGTCTGGGGACCAGAGGCCAAGTCACCGAGGTCCCACAGAGAGTGGGTGATGGGCGCGCTCCCCTCCCCAGTACCACTGAAAGCATCCGCTCGAGAAGGTGATTTGGGGCTGGGATTCAGTGACTCCGGAGCTCCTTGGCAGGGTGGTTGACATCTGTCCTGGTAGCTGCAGACAGACTGGGGCAGCCCCCCCTCCCCAGCCCACCCCTCCTCAGTCCCTCTAACCCCACACCTCACCACCACTCAGAGTGGGGCACTCTCTACCCCCCACCCCGCCATTATCTGATTATCCAGCAAAGTTATTTATAAGAGCGTGGGCGGGGGGGATGACAAGGGAGATTAATGCACCAGCGGGTCCTGGCGGGGTAGCTGCCTCGCTCACCAAACACACATCATGAAAACTTATTGCTCAGAAAACATTGCAGACTCTGCTAATTCATAAATATTCAATGCCCTCACCGAGGAGCCGCCGGGGTTCCTGAGAGGTGGTTAATTGCCACTCGGACAGGGGAGGCCAGGCTCCCCTCCGGGCCAAGACTCCTCTCCCTCCTGCCGGCTCCCTTAGCCCAGCCGGGCCCACCAGTCCCTTTCCCCAAGTGCTGAGCAGGTGGTTTCACTTCCTGGCTCTGCGGGCTGAGGATGCCCTCCCTGAGCTCCGGGGAGTGTCTATCACCAGCAGGCCGTGCTCAAAATGGCTTCCAGGCCCGCCCTGTCAGTTCCTCGGCTTCTCTGGCCCTGCTCAGCCCCAGTCAGGGGGGAGGAGGGCCCTGGAGGGCGAGCAGAAAGCAGCCAGGGAGACATGGGGTGGGGGCGGGGGGAGGCCTACAGGCTGTCATCCCCAGGTAGGGGGTGGAGGTGGAGGGAGGGAGGGGGGCAGAGTGAGAGAGAGAGAGATTGAGAAGGGGGATAAGAAGCCAGGTTTCCCCAGGACAGTCAGTGAGGGAGGCGCAGTCCTGGCCCAGATGCTCTCCCAGGATGATGCAGGATTCTTACCCCCACCTCGGGAAAGCGCCTGTCAAGAAACAGACCCAGCAAGGGCCTGGGGAGGCCCTGGGGGCAAGCACCGCCACGCCTGGGGGAGAGGCAGGCCAGCTGATTGTTCCCTCCATTTGGGCCGGACAGGGACAAAAGGAGACGCTGCGCACACAGACACCCCACCCCTGGGTCTGGGCCCCGCGTCTTTGCCACTGAGGCTCCATACCCCTCCCCTTGGTGCCCATCCCCAGGGGACTGGCCTCTAGGACTGCATGCTCCCCAGGCCCCTTTGCCTGCTCATTGTCCTGGGGAGCCCTGCGGGAGATGAGCCAGCGGAGACAGGTAGGGGTGGGCTGCTGGCGGTCCTCACACCCTCCCTGGCCGCAGCGCCTCCTCCAGGGTCCAGTTCTCACCAGGTCCCCGTAACACTGCTCCCCCTGCCTCTCCAGACCAGGGGTGGTCACAGAGCTTCCGCTCTTGCTAGTCTCGGGCTGCCTCAGTGCCCCTCATGCGTCCCTCAATCCTGCGCACCCCCCGGCCCTCGGTGAGGAGCCTCTGCCCTCAGTCCCCTCATGTGAACCATCAGGGCAAATCCCTTTCCTGCTGGGACCCAGCTTCCGCTCCAGTCCTCACTTCCTCTTCCCCTTGGCCCCTCAGAGAAGACCAAGAGTGGCCATCTCCAGAGGGGGTGGCGTGGGACAGCCTAGCACCCAGTCCGGCAGGGTCACTTCTCAGCCGTGGGAACTCAGCTCAGTCCCTTGAATTACCCATGCTCTGGTTTCCTAACCTGTGAGCTGGAGAACACAGGGCCAGCAGCTTCCTTGGGACTTAAGAAGATGCAAGAGGACATTCTGCCCACCCGGAGGCCCACAGCCAGCCGGTGGGGAGCGGGCCAGGCTCGCCGAGGGACTCCCCAGAGTCCCTCCTGAATCCCCTGGGTCCCAACAGACTGAACTCTCCATGGCAGCCCAAGGGGTCTCGAGAGCCCACACCCTCTGCCCCCAGACCTCAAAGCCACAAAGAAAGAAATGACTGTCGCGGTTCAGATGAGAGCCTCAGACCACAGGGAGATGGCTGACTCACCCCTGGCCCCAGAAATAGAGACTGCTTTCTAGCCCACCCCGCGGGGCCCCCCACCCCAGCCCAGGGAGCCCACAGGATGAAGGAAGGTGACCGTGAAGGTAGCCTGTCTGTCTGGCCCGGCCAACAGCCTTCCTCCCTGCTTCTGCTGTGACCCATCCCCAGGCAGTCAGAATCCTACAAATTGCCCCCATGTCGACACCTCCTCGGTGCCAGGTGCAGTGAGTGGGCAGAACAGTGTAGACACGAGGAGCCTGGTTGTCAGCTCAGGCTGCCCGGTTTCCAATCCTGGACAGAGGCTACATCAAAGGATTACCCCATCCGCCCCCAGGCCCTGGCACTAACTGCTCAGAATTCAACAATGACCCCATATCAGTGCGTGCTGGCCCTACCAAGGGATCCTGAACCAGCCTCGGTACCCAGGAAAGCCATACCAAGCTACCTCTGCGGCTTCTTCACGGTAGAAATGATCTAACAAATCTCACAGAATTGATGCCAGTTTCTCTTAAACCACATGTTGGTTCGATCCAAAACTACTTACCAAGGGCCTACTATCTGCTAGGCACTGTAACTGGAGTGAGAGAAGATGAGAAGCAAGCAGAGACCAGTCTTGCACAAGAATTTTATCTTTTTTCTAAGAGCAGGCTATTCAAGTGTTTCCCAGGGAGAGGGACTGTGCGATCAAATGTGCATTTTGAAAGAATCCCTCTGGTTGCAGCATGAAGGACATCTGGGTAGGGCTAGATGGGCATGGAGGCCACGGAGGGACCTGAGAGCAACCACATGGGACACAGGTGCCATGTGGACTAGCGATGGAGAAGGAGAGAGGCTGGGTGGAGTGGAAGAAGTAATGTTGGCAGGGCTCAGGGAGGGATTTAAAATGGTAGAGTGTGGGCGAGAGAAGGAAGGGCCAAGGATGGCTCTGGGTTGTGCAAGTAGGGGGATGGCATGGCCATTCAGCGAAATGGGGAGCCCTGGAAGTGGGAACAGCTTTAGGGACCAGGGCTGGAGGGAGGAAGGCCACGGCTTTGGTTTTCAACATATGAAGGTTCAGAGGACATTGAGTATTCTTGAAAAGATGCCAAGGAGACAATGGGACACATGACCAGGAGCTCAAAGGAAAGGTGAGCCCAACGAAAGCTGAAGAGATGTTTAAGCCCCGGGGGTGGATGAGACTAACGGAGAACAAAGATTTTTGTTTTGTTTTGTTTGTTTGTTTTGTTTTAAAGATTTTATTTATTTATTTGACACGGAGAGACAGCGAGAGAGCAGGGCAAGCAGGGGGAGAGGGAGAAGCAGACTCCCACCAAGCAGGGAGCCCGATGCGGGGTTCAATCCCAGGACCCCAGGATCACGACCTGAGCTGAAGGCAGACACTTAACGACTGAGCCACCCAGGCGCCCCATCTGAGAACAAAGTTTAGTGAGGAGCCAAGAGGCCCATGCCCTGGGACGCTCCAAAATGTAAGGCCAGGTGGAGGAGGGGAAAGTTGCAAAGGAGGAGGGAAGCAGTGACTCAGGAGGTAGGAAGAATATCAGATAAGCGTTGTGTCCTGAAGCCGAGAGACATGTATTAAGAATGAAATCTGGGTGTTATATGCAAGGTCAAGGGAGACAAGGACTGAAAAGTGTCCACCGTGTGGAGCAATATGGAAGTCATTGGTGCCTTCGCAACAGCTATTCTGGGAACAGTGGTTGGGCTGGAAACTGTTTCATCAAAAATTTGCTGATCAGCTTCTTCCTACCAGGCTCTCTGCCGGGCAGGAGGTGTACTGTCGTACTCAGGAGCGCCGCTCCCCACGTTCTTCTAGCTCCTCACCTTCCGGTTAGACTCCAGCTAGTTGGTGAGGCCATGTGACTGTTCTAGCCAATGAGTTGTGAGTAGAACTGATGGGAGTCAACTTGCAGCTGGGACAGGTGTGAGAACCTCCAGGGCTCATTTTCCTTCTGGCGTGAGACTGGCAAGTTTCAAGATGGTGGCTGTTCTCTCAGGCCGAGCCCCAAGTCATCATGATGAGCAGAGACTCCCCGCCACCTTCCTTTGTTGGAAGACTCCCCTTCCTTCCTGATGTTCTGCTACGGTGTCCCACATTCAGTTCAAGGTTCTGTCTGCAGACATTCCCCTATTAGTTGCACACACACACACCCCAAGAAAATTAATGAATTAATTAATAAGCTTTACTCAATGATTAAGATTTGACCTCCCAGCTGGGAAGGTTCCCAGCACCTCAGCAAGCCACAGCCCTCCGGCGGGGAGTCCCTGTTGGAGCAGGTCACAGGGGCCATGGTCTAGGCAGAAGATGATGAGATTGTGCACGAGGGAGGAGGAGGTGATAAGAGATAGAGATGAAAACGAGATGCAGTTAGAAGAAAGATAATTGATAAAACTAACTGGGAGTGTCCATACTGAAATATGCTCGCCACGTTCCCTTCGGATCTCACCCTCCCTACCTGAAAAATGGGCAGAATGGCTCTTGCCGCCTCAAGGGGGGAAACGCTGCCTCTTTCGGCCCCTGGGAAGAATAATGAAAACCCAACTAATGGGATACTTCACCTCGCCCTGAAGACAGTCCCTCCCTGAAGACAGTCCCTACCAGCTACGGGCTGGGCCTGTGGAGCAGAGAGAAGAAAGAAATTGGTCTTGAGGTTGAAAGCCCTCAGTCAGCTGAAGGGGGAAGCAAGCCAAGGGGGTTCAAAATAGAGAAAGAGGAAGAAGCAAAACCAACTCATCTCCCCAGTTCCCTCATACCACTGCACGGTCAGAGATGCTCCCCTCATTTCTCTTCCTCTCGGTGTCGTGGGCAGGCTGGGGCTGGGGAAGCCATACAGTTCCCCAGTGTGGCCACGGCCACAGTCACTGGACATGGGTTCCAGTCCCCTGCCCTGCCTGTGTGGACAAGTTCCATGACCTCTCTCACCTCCCCTCACCACCACCACCCCCGCTGGTGCTCCCCTCCTGGCCTCCAGTTTCCTCTCCCAAGGCCAAGTCAGAGTCACGGTCAGCCCCAACCCCTAGCCTGGCTGGGCCCAGCAGGCCCCTAACCGGGACACAGGACACAGCCTGTAACCACATCTTGCAGTGTGATTCACTCCATCTGTGGAAAGACTGATGCAATTGTGGGTGAGGAGTCATTTCTGCTGATGAGCAAACCACAGCAACCCAATGGGGTGAGAGGGTAATCCATCGGGGCCGTCGGGACCCACCCTGAGAAAGGACACAAGGGAGAGCCCTCAGGCTTCCCAGGGCCATCGGCCATACCAGGGCCCGGGAGAGATGGCGGGGGCAGAGAACAGCCCCAGTGCCTGGCTGTCCACCCACTGTGATGCGGCAGGGCTGGGGCCAGGACTATTTCTAGGCAAGGGTAGCCCAGTTCAAAGACACCAACTCTTCCTGGGACCCCCAGATCATTCACCTTGCGTCCTGTGTGATATAGAGATGGATGTGGGAGGTTCTTGGAGGAGGCTGGTCTACCATGAGCAGGACTGCCTTCTCTGGGTGCTGGCTCCGGTGCCTGGTCTGAGGTCAGAGTCACCTTGCTGCCCTTCCCCCCCCACCTGCACTGGAAGCATCTGTGTCTACCCCTAGAACATAAGCCCCCATAGCCAGAGCAGGTGCTCAGGGAATATATGGAACAGAATCTGAAATCCCAGAGGCCCAACAGCCCTTGTCCTGTGACCTGCCTCATCGGGCACCCTTGCCCTGGGTGCCTGATCCACCACCCATTTCCAGAGGCCCCAGCTCAGACACCTACCCAGTGAGTCCTGGGTTTGTCCCCCTGACTATAGAGGAGCAAGCCCCTGAACTGCCCTTTGTGGGTTACAGCACCCCCTTCCTCCTCAGAGCTTGGTGCTTGCTTCCAGGACAGCCGTTGGGCTGGGGTCTTTCCCAGTGTTGCTATTACGTCTCCACCTTCCACATAAGCCATTCTAGACAGGGGCTGCCCTGGCCTGGAGACACCAGCCCTGCCCGGTAGCCACACCTCCCCTCTCCAGATCTTGATAGCTCCCTGCAAGAGAGGCATTATAACCTCGTTCTACTGAAGATGAACCTGAGGATCGGGAGGCCATATAATCCACAAGGACACTGATAAGAGGCAGACTTGCAACAGGGACTTGAACTCTCTGCCAAATTCTCTGCCCAGAATTCTCTCCAGGCTCCAGACACCTAAACCAACTTCCTTCATGGGGTCTCCTGGTGAGGGCCAACGAGACGAGGGGCCCTCCAAAAGGTACCAAGCAGCATGTAAATACAAGGGAGCCACACAGAGCATGTGCCACGCCCCATCCTCACTGCCCCTCTCGCTCAGACTAGAAGTCCCCCCCCCCC